TGCTGAAATTACTTTTTAATCAAATATAAAGATTTAAAAACTCAGTTATTGACTACATTTACATAGTATTCTTAATAGGGTTTAATAACATCCGTAGTTATAAAACTAGCCATTCGCAGTCGTTCTATTCTTCCGAGGAACAGCTATGATTGGCCAATTTCATATACAGATGTTATTAAACCCGACTAAGCGTGTAAATGTAATCATAATTAACATAGAATCGGTTTTTCATTTAAGATTAACTTAATCGATCGATTCTGCCTGTTATTCTGCCTTCCGAATAGCTAATTTATTGTTTCAATGGCACATTCTCTATTTCCTTTCCCGCACGTGTGATTTCACCCTAAGAACGGATTATGAATTCCGGCCATAGATTTATAAGAGAAGCGCGACTGGTGTTAAATGTTCTGATTGGTCATTGCAATTTCGTGATTAGCAACCAATGATAAAATTATTTCTGCCCACTAAAATGGCTGCATAATGGATAATTGATGGATTTCATAGTCTGTCTTGCAAACGAAGCCATTTTTAGTACTTCTTCTAGTACTTTTAGTACTTTTGCAATACTGACATAAATCGGTCGCGTTCCTTTTATAAATATAAAACTCTACCCGTGTTAAGATGCCTTTTCATGGTGACGCTGAACGCTCATTTTCAGCGTCAAAATAGTTCACGATCAAAATTGACGCTTGATATTCATCAATTTCTATCACGTGACTTATTTTGACATCAAAAATAAGCTTCAGCATGAGAAAGTATTTTTAAGTACATGATGTTAAACTAAGCCCGTATTCAGAACTAGAGTCTTACAACTAGAGTCTCTTTAAGCCGGTTCTACATTAGTTGCAAGTTGATCGCTTCAGATGGCTGTCGCAACAAACTTGTGATCGGCTTGCAACTAATGTAGAACGGGCTTAATTAGAGTCAAGTCATGAAGGGCACCGATCTTCTGATTGATCAGATTTCGAATCCCTTTAAACGCCTCCATTTGCAGATACTTTCGATGTTGTAATGAATCTGTAAATTGATATGAGCAATCTGAAGTTTACATTTTTTAAATCAACGCTTCATATTGGCTGTCGCAACAAACTTGCGATCGGTTTGTAACTAATGTAGAACCGGCTAAAGAGACAGCGAATTTTATTATGCAATCTTCTCTAATTACAGTATGTTATATAAAAGAATCAATATTTTTTTAAAAATTTAGTTAGTATGCCCACTTACTGTTTTGTAGAAAATTGTAATAGCACACATTATAAAAATAAGGAAGAATAAAAATTTTATTCGAATAAAAACATAAGCTTTTTTAGATATGTGAGAAATTAATGTAAAAATTAGTTATATAACCTATTTATACATATATATAAATTATTTACATATATACATATAATTTACATAAACATATATTCAGAAAAAATGTTTTATATATATGGACATATTT